GGCTGATCCTACTCCGTATCAGATTCTTGTTGGTAGTTAAGTCTATGCCACTGTTACATGACCTAATATTACTTATGGTGTTTATGAATTGCACCTTATGAAGCACTTCCCCTTACAAATCATCAAAGAAAGGGAAAATATTACACATGAATGATGAAAACTCTTTTTGTGTTTTTTTAGGCTTAAAAAGAAAGGGAAAAAAAAAAGGCAATTTTGATCAAACTTCATTTAAATAAACTCAAATACTGCCAAAAGATTATATAAGAGCACAAGAGGCAAATATATAAACCCGGCCAATAATTTGTCATTTTGCCAATCAATATCGTAAATGCATAATTCAAGATCGTTGGTATCAACATCAAATTGGTTGTGTATCAACATCAACTCAGAGAGCACTAAGACAAATTGGTTGTGTAGTCATAAGCTGACATGCACGAAATGCTGGATAGAAGACTCTCAAAAATTCTAGAAAATCGCAAAAACTTGTCAAAAAGATTTAAACCATACCATACATGCATTATATTGTCCAAAATACATCATAATGCAAATGAAATAGAGGGGTATTACTTGATATATTATTATCATCAATGTTCGATATAAGCATTTAAGATTTCGAATCATAATAACAGCCACAGCTGTGGGCTGGAGTCAAATAATAGTTGGGAGCAAGATNGTTACTTGATATATTATTATCATCAATGTTCGATATAAGCATTTAAGATTTCAAATCATAATAACAGCCACAGCTGTGGGCTGGAGTCAAATAATAGTTGGGAGCAAGATTACCCCGTGGTATAGTATGCATTTTGTATAATGTATTTGGGTTCTAAACTTAAACATACAATGTATTGGTTAATTTATTACTAAATTATATCAAGAAAATGCAATAATCCATTCCAAAATAAAAACAATACCATTATTATAAAATAGATGATATCTACTATTTATGTGTCAAGAAAAACGCTTTATTTACCAAAACAAAGGAACAAAATCATCCAAAACAAAAAAATGAATAAAAAGGCAAACTGTTGAAGCATATAGATCATTCTAAAACCACCAAAACAAAAGGACAAAACTGTTCAAAAAAAAAAGAATGGGCAAACTATAGAAGCAACCAATCATTCCATCGTTAGTTCCTCATACGAAAGACTAATCGCACGCGAGAGAAAAGGGATAATGGGATAATATTAGAGATGGTTGTGATCGGATCTCTAAGCCAGTAGATGACGTTGCAACGCATTGGTGATATCGGACTCCAATAATACCTTGTATACAACCCTTATGAGCTTGGAAGACATAGTCTTCGAAGTTCTCCTACTTTGATTTTCCTAGAATGGTGGTTTCAATAGGTTCTTCTACTTTCAATTGCTTTTATTTTGGCCATTTGTTGTTTTCATGTGAGCCTAGGATTCCATTGCACCTTGGTTGACTCGAACAAACTTGTAACCAAGTCGACTAAGTTGCACTAGTTCGGCCAAATTATCTCTGATTCAAAACTGACTCAAGCAATACCCGACTACACCACCTCCAACTTCATCGACTTTGCCTAAGGTCCCTGATTCATCATCTTTTGATCTCCATAGTAATGTTCTCATACATAGTCATTAGCTTCTCTTGGTTGGAAAAGTGTTATGAATGAGATGTTTGTTCTCCGTCAAAATGGTACATAGGAGTAGGCCCATTAAGAAGCCCATTAGCCCAATAGAATGTACCCATTGGAAGAAGGTAATTAGATTATGTTTTATAATTGATCTGTAACTTTTAAAGATTGAGACTTGCAAATGATTGACAATTGTGTTGGTGTCAACCTAGTTTAGATGTACTTAATTTGTAGTGATGCAAAATAGTCTCACCCACCAATCAATTTGTAATGTAACATTGTAACTCTATATGAATATTTGTTAAATTCAATCAATATGAATAATTTTTTATTAATTTATTTTTTCATACTAACTTCATGTAATTGATTTTTTTTGTAATTTTTATATGAAAAATAAATTTTTCGATGTCTTTTTGTATTTTTTTTCATAAAAAGTAATTTTTTAACAAAAAACCCGTTCTAGGCCTAATGGGCGGGCCATAAGGCCCAGCCCGTATTTAGCCTATTTTTAGCCCAATAGGCCAACCCACGAGCACGGGTTGGGCCTTGAAAATTCCTAACGGATGGGCCCAGGCAGGCCCGTTGACTAGTCAAGGCCCACGGGCAGGTTATGGGCTGAAATATTCTGGGCCAAGCTGGCCCGGCCCATTGCCGAGGCCTACATGGGAGTTAACTGCACAATGTCGTCGGGTGTTTATGGATATGTGTTGTTAAGTGTCGGTCTGACACACTGTTGAAAGGTTAAAAGCTCGATTAGTAGCTAAGAGTTACATTCAAACTTTTGGTGTTGATTACTTTGAAATATTTTATCCTATTGATCATTTTTCCTGCGTGTGGGTATTATTATCAGTTGTTGTTGTAGACAATTGGCCTAGATACCCACTGGACATTAAAAATGTCTTTCTTCATGGTGATCTTGAGGAAGAGTACATGGAGCAATCTCCAAGGTATGTTGCTCAGGGGGTCACAAAAGGTGTGCATGTTGAAGAAAGCAATTTACGAGATTAAACAGTCACCTAAGGCTTGGTTTGACAAATTCAGTAAAGTAGCAAGTGATTAAGGTTGAAAAGAACTGTTTGATCATTCTATGTTTGTGCAGCGTGGTCAAAAAGGCACTATTATTCTTGTTAGCTATGCATAATATAGTAATTAATGGGTATGGTACGGAGGGTAAAAAATTTGTTGAAATTTCACTTTGGTAAACATTTTCAAATAAAATACTTGGGGAAACTATGTTCCTTTTACGGTGTGGAAGTAGCCCGGTCTCAAGAAGGGATATCTCTCACACAGGAATATATACTTGATGTTGTTGTTGAGACTAGTATGATGGGAACCAAACCTATTATACTTTGATGGATCCAAATACCAAGTTCAGTGAAGATGAAAGTGAATATTTTGACGATCCAAAAAAATATCAAAGGCTTGTGGGTAAGCTTATTTATTTGACTGTCACAAGTCTCGGCTTTCTTTTTACAATTGGAGTTGTTAGTCAATTTATGCATAATCCAAAGAAGCCCCATCAGGAATGTGTGTGCCTAAGATTTATCAAGATCAAAAGTTCTCCTAAAAGAGGTTTGGTATTAAAACCTTTTGATAATTGGGAAATAGTTGGGTTTCTCAAATGCAAATTGAGCACATGATCTTGTACACCGAAAGTCTATGCCAAGGTTCTACCAATTTATTGGTGGCAACCTCGTTACATGGAAAAGTGAGAAACAAAGTATAGTAACTAGGTCCGAGGCAGAGGTCGAGTATACAGCCATGGCACACACAACTCGTGAGATGGTATGGGTGAGATCACTACTATAGGAGATTGGGATATCTAGAAACAAGCCTATAATGATGTATTGTGATTAGGGGTGTTAATCGAGCCGGGTCTAATGAGCTTCAGTTTGCTCAGGCTCTGCTCGAGTTTTTGGAAGGGTGTCCAAGCTCAGCTCAGGCTTGAGTACAGAGCCTAAATTATTGCTCAAGCTCAGCTTGGCACAAGCTTAAGTCGAGCCCAAGCCAAAAACAAGCTCTCGCATAAATCCCAAATTTACAAAATCTAAATCTGATAATCTCAAATTCTTGACCATTAACCGAAGAAAAAAAATCCCAAAATCTAAAATTAGATATTTTGCAAATACTGAATTTAAATACAAACCCTATTCTCAAAAAATTTTAAATCGCAACAAAAATAACAAATTAAATATGTAAATGTGCACCTTGGGATGACCCTAGATGACGATAATCGTAATACCCACTTAGTGGGGTTAGATCTAGGGCTTGAGTTGAGGCCGGGGGAAAGAATGGAGGTGTTGATAATCGTAATACCCACTTAGTGGGGTTAGATTTGGGGCTTGGGTTGAAGCTTGAGGGCGATAGAAATAGTGGTAGTGTTGAGGAGCGTGGCATCAATGATAGATTAGATAGAGATCAAGATGCAGAGATGCAGAGCGGTGAGGGAGAAGAAGAAACAGAGAGATAGAGAGAGAGCAACTGACTGAAAGAAGGGGATAAGGATTAGGGAGAGTTCAAGGATCAAGGTGTGGAGAGAGAGAAGCACGTGATTGAGTCTTTCAAAAAAAAAAAAAGTGGGTAGACTATATAGATGTAGACTTGACATAAGTGGTTTAAAATAGATTATATATTTGTTAATTTTACAAAAGTAACCTTGACATTCTTAATAATTTAAAAAAATATGTTGTACAGCTTACAAGGGGTGAAAAATTTTAGATATTTTAGGGTAAAACTACGAGCCTGGTTAGGCTCACGGGCGGCTCAGCTCAATTTCAAAATGAGCCTATTTTTTTGTGCAGATTCCGCTCGTTTTACAAAATGAACAAGCTCAAGCCGAGCCAAAACCGAGCTGGGCCCGAGCCGCCCGTATCATTTAACAGCCCTAATTGTGATAATCAAGATGTTGTACACATTGCCAATAATCCAGTATTTATGAGAGAACAAACCAAATGATATGGTGATGCGTAAACAAATTGTTACATCATTTGTTAGATCCAATACTCAGGTAGGTGATACGTTTACTGAGGCCTTAAGTAGAGACAATTTCGAGACCTTTGCAACCAACTGGTCATGATTGATATCCACGCTCCAGTTTGAGAGGGACGGGAGCTAGAATTAGTAACTTGGGAATTTTTGTAATTTCTTGGTTAGTAATACATATAATACTGGTATCCCTACTATAGGGCAAGCTGGTCACTTTTTCATCTCAACAGGCTGTATCAATCATGGCGGCTATCCATGATGCAGATCCTTCAAGGAACCTTTCAGAACATTTCGTCATTTAGTTTTGTAGACAACAATCAACAAACTGACATTATATGTTGTGAGATGTCATAATCATGAAACCAAGCATGCCACCACAGATTAAAACAAGCATACACCACAAATCTGGTAGTACTTACAATGATTTCAACTCTGTACAATTACCCAATGCTGAAGGTACTGTCCCATAAAAGCTGTTGTCATGAAGAGCTCTACAACACATTATACAGTATGATGGCATCAGTCACAGCACACTCTCCAGTAGGATCAACATGAAAAAACAAAAAGGAAATTGCATACAAGTACATACAAAAACCGCAAATGCTCTAACTTTCCAACGTCTGATGATATAGATCCACTCAGCTTGTGATTAGGAAGACTCCTAGATAATTAGAGATTGAAATCACCTTTAGTATCAAAAACTCAAGCATAAATATACAAAATTAGCTAACTGTGCACCATATCAACTGTCATTTTAAAAATTTGCCAATACCATGTACTACTCTATGCTTAAATCAGTATATTTTCATTTTTCTGCAGTAAAATAAGAAGAACAAATTGCACAAAAACTTTCATGCATGATGGATGAGCCCAAGGCAAAAACATAAATATCCAATGGATCATTGAGCAATTAACNATAGATTATATATTTGTTAATTTTACAAAAGTAACCTTGACATTCTTAATAATTTAAAAAAATATGTTGTACAGCTTACAAGGGGTGAAAAATTTTAGATATTTTAGGGTAAAACTACGAGCCTGGTTAGGCTCACGGGCGGCTCAGCTCAATTTCAAAATGAGCCTATTTTTTTGTGCAGATTCCGCTCGTTTTACAAAATGAACAAGCTCAAGCCGAGCCAAAACCGAGCTGGGCCCGAGCCGCCCGTATCATTTAACAGCCCTAATTGTGATAATCAAGATGTTGTACACATTGCCAATAATCCAGTATTTATGAGAGAACAAACCAAATGATATGGTGATGCGTAAACAAATTGTTACATCATTTGTTAGATCCAATACTCAGGTAGGTGATACGTTTACTGAGGCCTTAAGTAGAGACAATTTCGAGACCTTTGCAACCAACTGGTCATGATTGATATCCACGCTCCAGTTTGAGAGGGACGGGAGCTAGAATTAGTAACTTGGGAATTTTTGTAATTTCTTGGTTAGTAATACATATAATACTGGTATCCCTACTATAGGGCAAGCTGGTCACTTTTTCATCTCAACAGGCTGTATCAATCATGGCGGCTATCCATGATGCAGATCCTTCAAGGAACCTTTCAGAACATTTCGTCATTTAGTTTTGTAGACAACAATCAACAAACTGACATTATATGTTGTGAGATGTCATAATCATGAAACCAAGCATGCCACCACAGATTAAAACAAGCATACACCACAAATCTGGTAGTACTTACAATGATTTCAACTCTGTACAATTACCCAATGCTGAAGGTACTGTCCCATAAAAGCTGTTGTCATGAAGAGCTCTACAACACATTATACAGTATGATGGCATCAGTCACAGCACACTCTCCAGTAGGATCAACATGAAAAAACAAAAAGGAAATTGCATACAAGTACATACAAAAACCGCAAATGCTCTAACTTTCCAACGTCTGATGATATAGATCCACTCAGCTTGTGATTAGGAAGACTCCTAGATAATTAGAGATTGAAATCACCTTTAGTATCAAAAACTCAAGCATAAATATACAAAATTAGCTAACTGTGCACCATATCAACTGTCATTTTAAAAATTTGCCAATACCATGTACTACTCTATGCTTAAATCAGTATATTTTCATTTTTCTGCAGTAAAATAAGAAGAACAAATTGCACAAAAACTTTCATGCATGATGGATGAGCCCAAGGCAAAAACATAAATATCCAATGGATCATTGAGCAATTAACAAAAATTAGGAACTAAAGGATTTGGAATGGTTGGATAGCCGGCCATCCAGGATAGCCATGGAACGAGAAAGAAAGTCAAGAAGGATGGTTGCTTCCTATTTCATCAAGTAACAGATATTCCCTAGGTCGGTCCATTTGACTTGCTTTCATGTAAACATTTTTAAAATGAAAATGTGAATCGTTTGAAATAAAAAATATGTTTGTGTTTGCTAATCCCACGGGGCAAATTGATTTACAAGGCAACTGAAGCCCAAAGTTGAAGGTCTGGCTGTTCTAGAGATAGCTAACCTGTAAAGGACCAAGTGCAAAATTATGAGCTGGTTCTGAGAAGAGGAAGCATCACTTAGTGTTGCCATATTCAACTTACTTTGGAAGTTGGGAACTTCAAATTTCTTCAAGGTGTGAGGATCAGTTGAAAAGCATAATACTGAAGGTTACTCCATCCTTCAAATAAGTATAGGACCAAAGATATTTGACTACACACTAAAAAAAATGACTTTCACAGCCATCAAATGGAAACGAAAAGAAGCTTTGACTCCTCATCCTTCATATTAAGACCCATGTGCTCAAAAGGAATCCAAAGAAAATCCATAACAAAACATTTTAACATTAGCAATAGTGGTAATCAATTCCATATTGCACGTACTATCAACTTGATGCACCTACAGAAACCACTGATGGAAAAAGCATTGCCAAAATCTCATCCAAAGGCTTTAAGAAATGTGTTGAGGATATTTTGAAAACTCACAAAGATGTAACTCTCTTGGATTTTGGATCACATTTTACTCCTTTCCACCCACATGGATCAGGATCCTCTGGTCTCCACTGCAAAAGGACACCATCCGAACTCAGAATGGTTGTCCTAAAGCTAACAAGTGCTTGACCTACAAATCACAAAGCAAGTATCACAAACTATACTGCCAATACCAAAGGATAATCCCTAGAAAATGGGATATAAAGCATAATGCCTAGAATTGAGCATGTCCATCTTTCTTGCTATTATCAGAGTCTTATGCGGCTAAAGAAGAAACAACTCCCAGAGCAAATTATGCAAGAAGCCAACTCAGTCAGATGCATGGAACCATCCAATATATAGAAGGGTTGTAATAGAAGAAACATTTGATCATGAATGCAAACATCTTACCAGTAAGGTATAACCTATAAGATCTTCTAAGTTGGACAGCTTTACAAGTGACTTTGGTAGGCAGGCACATTCAAGAATTTGGATGACTGAATGGGTCTCATTTTTAAATGCATCAATGAAACATGGAATCAAGTATAAACAGAAAAATTTTAATAGCACCATCACTCCATAAATAATATGGGTGACCCAGCAAAAAATATATATGCAAACATTAGAGATAAATATACACATACCATCAGGACTGAGAGCTCTGGCTTTGTTCACAACAATGTAAAGCAATATGATGTATGAAAGCAGTGGCCCTTGGAAATTCATAAGAAAGCTGCCCATTGCGGCAGTGGTCAAACATAATAAAGAGAATAGAGATCATCTGAAGCGCCAGATCCTATACTGCTTCCCTTGGACATATAGTTATCTTATTGATGATGCCGTCATGCAGTCACAAAATATGGATAGGTAATGCTCTGTTAGACAAAAAAAAAATGAAGTATAACATTAACAAGCAATAGTTATGAAAATGGCATGATTGCTTTTTAAATGCAATTCATTATCTTTATGCATGAATGGGTTAATGCTACCTGTTTCATTCACCTCCAGTTAGTACACTTTATTCATTGCCAACAAACCATTTCTGACTTCCAAATTCATTGATTTCTTGTGCTATCTTCCCTGTAATATGTTCAACCTTAACTGCCTCGAGCAGTGAGAAAAATAGGGGCCAATAACCGTGAGGTTATAGGCTTCAAATTGAGAACATCACCTCATGTAAATGACACAGAAAGGCCCTGCCAACAACCTCTTAGCAGGGACTTTAACTGCTCAACATCTCATACCATGGGGTGAAACTGCCCTTAAATCCGTCCTAACCAATTTTGCCACCATTTTGATAGACTGGTTCCTCCTAGGTCTTTCTTCACCATCATGTCTCCCCATGTTAAAAGTCCATTAATTTACATATACAATCTTAGTCTGATTATAGCAAACCACACCCCATGTGACCATCGATTTCTCCATATCTTCCCATAATCTAACTTGTCAAAAGTACAATTATCTTCTAGAGAAGTTCAATTATCTTTTAGAGCTTTCCGTTGACTATTCCCTACAACATCTTCACATTGCTGAAATCTAATTTCTAAAATCTCTATTCATCCCAAACGAATATTATATATAATAATTGTGAAAGTAATATAATAAGTAGAAACCAAAACCAAATCATCCAATTAACGCCCAAATTCAATATCTGCAGTATAGAATTTCCTTACATTGTGCTGGACAGCAGACAAATTTTGGTACGAAGGTATAGGCAATCACTTTAATCAGCTGGTTGTTTCTGAAGCAGATTGGGAACTTTGAGTATATGGTTCATAAATTGCAGAATGTTAGAACAGACAGGTTCTAATGGCTTATAGGTTTTGAATACTCAAATGACAATTAATTAGTGTTTCTAGCATTAACCTATTGATTATTATATATCACTTGCATATTTATATTTTCTTATAAATAGGGCTTTCTATTTGTATCAAATGTCGTAACTCCCATTTCATGGTTGTGTCCAAAATTATGTCAATAAACGTGTCCCGCCTCTATGTAGTGACTCAAATTCTTTTCATAACTTCTTTGGCCCCAATCAAATTACAAACATTAACTTTGTTATCTATAAAATTACTTAATGAGTTAGAATAAATTTGAAAAACAAAACCAAACGCATGATTGTGTCTCATACATGTTGGTCACGTGACCCCGTCGTACCCCGTCTTGGTCACACATACACGGGGTGTCAAAAATGTGTCTAGAAAAAAAATTACAAAATAAAAAAGAAAAAAATCAAAGACTTGGCAGGTCCAACATTTGTCCCAAGCTTGTCCACCTCTTAGACCTGTTCGTACAAGGTGTCATTCTTCCAAGCCAACCTAATACCACATCACACTAATCTAACAAAATTGCCAATTATCTTGACACAAAATCCAATTAAAGCCTGTCAAAAAATATGTAATAGATAAGGTCTCAAACCATAATTGTGGACATTTTGGCAAGGCAAATATGGATCCTTGATGTACAAAACCTAGAGTTATATCGTGGTTCCATATAAGGTAAGTTCAAGTTTTCAACAGATGAATGACTGTTTCACTGTCATAAAAAGCACAAAACCAAATGATCCTTGCAGCAAATTCACAACCTGTTCATTAACATCAAGAATTTATCTCGGCTTAAGTCGAACAATCGTTAGGTGAATCTTATCACTAATTCTTTCTAGTTTGTTATTAGTGTGTGATTCTGGATAGTAATATAGTTCTATTTGTTGCGAAAGCTTGTATCTAATATTGAATAATTAGAACCACGAAGATTGGTTTATATACTTGAGGGGTCACTACACCATAGCCAATTGGTTTTAGGTTGGATACTCTAACACTTGGGTGAATTTAGAATGGAGGGAGTGGGGGCAATTGTCCCCATTGAAATTTGGAAAAAAAAAAATTTGGGTCTATTGATCTTTTCTTTAAAAAAATTAAATTTATTACAACTTGTCCCCATTAATTTTAAAAAATAAATAAAATTCTTTCAAAAATTAAAAATTAGACTTAAACTTCTTCTCAATGTCATGACTCAATCTTCTAGCTCCAATTCACTCCCTTCCTGTTATATTTTAAATATTCTCTATTAAGAATAACATTTTAGATTATATTGTTTTGATATATTGGGCTTGGACAATTTGCTTGTGATAGATTACATTGTTCATACATCTTCGTTTTGTTATTAGACTTGTGATGAATTGAATTTTTTATTCTATCTATTTTAGAATATATTTTGTCATTATTATTGGGTTTGACTACAACTAAACAAAATAATTGTTCAATCAATTGTGGATAAAATTCCTAAAAGAAAATAAACATTGGAACAAATTACCACTAAGTTGTAGGTTGTCCCCACTACGGACAAACCTTGAAGTCATCCCTACTAACACTACTAACATGGAATGACATCCTCACCTGGTATTTCAAGTGGATCCAACAGTTAAGAGGGGTTTCTTGTATGGTGACATTATAGTACAAGATTCCCGACATATTTCTTTCACATGCATATCGCACGTATCACTCATTGACGTGATGTCAAACAAACTATTAAATCATTCTGAAATGTTCACTTATGACATAGGCGTCCAAGATCAACATGTCATAAGCATGAATTGACTAAAGAAGTCCAACGAGTATACCATACTTTTTGGTTACTTACACGCAACAATGTAACTGAATAGACTTAGTATAGTAGTCCAATGTAGACATGGTTCAAGGTTTTATCAAAAAAAAAAAAAAAAGACATGGTTCATGGTTGTGGTATCAACCATCAAGTCATAAAGCACTAAGATACATCGGTCGTGGTGTCATGGAATGGTATCGGCAGATACGCACAAAATACTAGATAAAAAGTTCAAAAATAAAAAAATGGAAAGTTCTGAATAAATGTAAACAACAAAATTCATGTATTATATTTCCAAAATATATCATCTACCATATGAAGCACAATGAAAACTAAAATATTGGATGTTACCAGAAATATTTATATTACAAATTTGATTAAGTAATTTTTAATACAAGGATATGGATGCAAATTGTTTAAATTAATTTCCTTACAAATCATCTACATTGTTATAAAATATTTTTTGGGATTTTAGTAATTTAATTATTAGTAATTCGAAACTAAGAAAAAATAGCACTCATTTTATTATTTTGTTTTGTTCGCAGTGGCTCCGATTTTCATGTTATGGGTTTAATGTCTTCTTCTTGTTCAATTTTTCTATGTTGNAATCTTCTAGCTCCAATTCACTCCCTTCCTGTTATATTTTAAATATTCTCTATTAAGAATAACATTTTAGATTATATTGTTTTGATATATTGGGCTTGGACAATTTGCTTGTGATAGATTACATTGTTCATACATCTTCGTTTTGTTATTAGACTTGTGATGAATTGAATTTTTTATTCTATCTATTTTAGAATATATTTTGTCATTATTATTGGGTTTGACTACAACTAAACAAAATAATTGTTCAATCAATTGTGGATAAAATTCCTAAAAGAAAATAAACATTGGAACAAATTACCACTAAGTTGTAGGTTGTCCCCACTACGGACAAACCTTGAAGTCATCCCTACTAACACTACTAACATGGAATGACATCCTCACCTGGTATTTCAAGTGGATCCAACAGTTAAGAGGGGTTTCTTGTATGGTGACATTATAGTACAAGATTCCCGACATATTTCTTTCACATGCATATCGCACGTATCACTCATTGACGTGATGTCAAACAAACTATTAAATCATTCTGAAATGTTCACTTATGACATAGGCGTCCAAGATCAACATGTCATAAGCATGAATTGACTAAAGAAGTCCAACGAGTATACCATACTTTTTGGTTACTTACACGCAACAATGTAACTGAATAGACTTAGTATAGTAGTCCAATGTAGACATGGTTCAAGGTTTTATCAAAAAAAAAAAAAAAAGACATGGTTCATGGTTGTGGTATCAACCATCAAGTCATAAAGCACTAAGATACATCGGTCGTGGTGTCATGGAATGGTATCGGCAGATACGCACAAAATACTAGATAAAAAGTTCAAAAATAAAAAAATGGAAAGTTCTGAATAAATGTAAACAACAAAATTCATGTATTATATTTCCAAAATATATCATCTACCATATGAAGCACAATGAAAACTAAAATATTGGATGTTACCAGAAATATTTATATTACAAATTTGATTAAGTAATTTTTAATACAAGGATATGGATGCAAATTGTTTAAATTAATTTCCTTACAAATCATCTACATTGTTATAAAATATTTTTTGGGATTTTAGTAATTTAATTATTAGTAATTCGAAACTAAGAAAAAATAGCACTCATTTTATTATTTTGTTTTGTTCGCAGTGGCTCCGATTTTCATGTTATGGGTTTAATGTCTTCTTCTTGTTCAATTTTTCTATGTTGATTTTTAAAGTGGATTTAATATTCCTTGCACCTCGGCCAAATCGGTTCCGAGTCACCAGAGTTGAACCCGAGTTTGCCCGATTCAACCAAGTTATCTCCAATTCAAGACCTATTTGCATGAGACTCAGAGATTTGGCGTAACGTGTATCGTTCCGACTCGGTTGAGTCGTATCAAATTCGACCTATACTTTGAACCCTGGATGTAAACAACATTCATTAATTTGTTATTTATCCTACCTATCTAATCCTCAAATATCAATGTGTAAAATTTGAGAGTTTGCATTTAAGCTTTAAATATTGCTTTTGACGACAATGCGTTTAGATGACCACCCAAA